CCCTCCCCCCCACCCCCCGGCCACAGACCCCCCGGCGAAGGGGGGCTGGGAATGCTGGTAGTTGTAGTCCTCACCTACCTGGGGGGCACCAGGTGGGGAATGGCTGCCTTGCAGCCTCATTGGAGTCAAGGTAGCTCACTGCTCCCCCCACTGGGTATAGGTGTACGGGGGAGGCAAAGGCCCCCTCCCCGCACACAGGGTGGGGCCTACTCCCAGCCTCCCTCCCCCGCCCAAAGGGGACCTGGGGCTCGGCCTGGCTTACCTGGAAGGGATTGACGTCCACCGGATCCGCGAAGGGGTTCGCATCGAAGGCCGACATGGCCGCTTTTTCTTCCTCCCCGCCACCCGGGACGAAGGCCCGCCGCACCTGTTCCCAGCTCGGTCCGCTTCCTGCACCCTAGAAACCACACACTTCCGGGAGACTAGTTTCCGCCCCTTCGGGCTCCGCCGCGCCTGCGCAATGCTGCCTGGGGGGGCGAGGCACCGTTCCTTTGCACGTGACAACAATAAGCTCCTCCCCACCTTGTGACCTCATCGGCCGGGCGGAGGAGAAAGAGCGAGGCGAGACAGCGCATGCGTACAACGCCTTTCTTTTTTTGTCTCCGCCTTCCGGGGACTGGAAGAAGGTGGATTGGAGCAGTTGAGGCTGAGGCTGAAGAGGGGAAAAAAAAGAAGACTCTCTGAGCATGCGCACGGCGTACAGGTCTAGTCGTTACCGTATATATGGTGTAGTAGCGCAGAGGTTTATTTTTGTTTAAATCAGGAGTTTGGGTTGAGTTGCAGTGCTAACCACATTGTTCAAATTACTTGAAAAGCAGTTCTGTGTTATAAGAAGCATATACAAAGCGGCAGAAAAAAATTATGCTTGTACTACAAGAGATTTTATTTTCAATTTTCAAATGGTTTTTCACAGCCGTATGGCCAGATTTTATTTTCAATAACAATGCATTTTAATCCTGCATTTTAATGCCAGGCTAGTTTCTTTCATTGCTTTATTTATTTAAAACATATATGGTTCCACCTCTTCTTAAGTTTTGGAGGACAGGAAGGAATAATATTTTTTATTAATAAAGTTGCTGATCAACTTTCAGTCAAATAAATCACAAAATAACCAGATTTATGTTCTGCCTTTCAACCTGGTAAATGGCTTCTGAAAATATCTCAAAACCTTTCTTTTAACTCGAACTTAGAAGCATTCAACCAGAAAACACAGGAAGAACTAGTCTGCCGTCAGGGTAAATGAAAGAGGAGCCTAATTAGAAACCTAGAGCAGCTCTTTGTGGATAAAATGCCCGATCTCTAACCTGTGATTGCAGAATGTATTTATGTATGCTTGACTCGATCCAGATGTATTAAATTAACCCTGCGGGTGGGGAGTGGGGTCCCATGACATACCGAATCATAAACTAACCCCAGGGCCCCCGTTCATGCACAGCGCTGAAGCGCCACGGTGGCTATGGCCTTGGCTTGGGGCAGAAAAGGTTTCCATTTGCAAACCCAGCAGAACCCTTTGGCTGTTGGAAGCCCAGACATGCCAGCAGAATCAAAAGGCTAACACGGGGCGAGGTTCTGGTGCCAAACGCCCTAAGACCCTTGCCAGAGGCTTGAGGGCAGCTGTTTCAGAACCCCTGGGCTCTGAATCCCAATAAAGGCGTGAAATAGAAAAGAAAAAAACCGATTGCGAATATTTTAAGATTCCTGGGATTCTTTTATTTCCCTGTTATAAAGAAACGTTCCGATATGTTCTTCCTATTAAGAGAAAAACAGTCGCCTATGGACTGGGGACGACAAGATACGTTTCGTGGGGAGCAGTTTTTTTTTTTTTTAATTGTATTAAGAGCTTTATTGAACAAGTTACAAAGTATCACCTACATCAGTGTTTCTCAACCTTGGCAACTTTAAGATGGGTGGACTTCAACTCCCAGAATTCCC